TTATTCTCACGACTTCTCTTGAGCACAGAAAACATGATCTGCATTTTGCTGAGGAAGGAACAGCTGGAAATTCTGACTCTACAAAAATCAATGGAAATTTTACCACTGAAGGCAGGATGTCACCCAGGAAAAGTAAGTACTGGCCTTTCAAATGTATTTAGAAATCTATTACAGCATTAAATGCAGTCAGAAAGCACTGACCAAGCACAGCAGAGTACATAAAGTATTGTGCTTTATAAAGCTATAAAAAGAGTTCCCCAAGATACTCTTCTCCATATTCTGCCATTTCTTTACATTAATACGTGGTTGAGATTTCAGGCCCTGGGGTAACATCCTCCTCTGCAAAGAAGGTAGTAAAGACAAGGAGGTCACGTCAAAGATGGGCACCAAGTGTTCAGGGAGGAGGAAGAACAGAAAACAGTACTCTGAATTTCATTTACACATAGTGCACAAGAAATAACACATTTTAAGGAGGAGGAGCAAAAGGGTGGAGGTTTAAACTCCTCACTCTAGAGTCCTTTGCCATCCAAAGTTAAAAACAGTGTTGAAAATGCTTTCCTGTTATTTGGTGGGATTAACAAACTAGCAGATGCATTGGTATTGTCAATGAAGGGTAAATCCCATTTCTGTATTATGCACTCTGGAATATTTTGTAGTATTTTCAAGTCCTTCATACAGCTCTAGATGTGGATCTAGAGGTCCAGGTGCAACACAACGCCTCCACACCACGTGGCATGAAAATGAGGACTTCAAATGGAGAATACGGGTCTTACAGTTTTGCTCACTGAATTAAATGAAAAACAGACACCTTAACAGAAAGCATCAACCACTAAAATGGGGACTGAGGAGAATGCAGCTCAGCTATTTTGTGTTATTCAGGCCAGCTGACAGGAGCTGGAAATGATACAGGAGGTACAAAGTTTCATTTGTACTGGGATTTGTAGCACTTGTTTCTGACTGAGGAGGACAAGGCTAGAAAGATGTCTTGGACAGAAATTTGGTGTCCAAGAATAGATAGATTAATTATATTGCTGTAAATCCTATTGACATCAAGGCAAATATACATGGAAGAAGTCATGATCCCAAACATCTGTTTACAGATAAAGAAAAAAAAGAAAAAAGTGCTTCAGTCTCTTCAGTTTTTGAGAATAACGAGACAGCACTTGGGAAAAAAGAAAAAGCAACAACCCAGAAAACCCCGCTGAGCAACCCCGACTATAAAAATAAGAATCCATATCTCTTTATGTTCAAACATTTAAGTGCGTGCTATGAAATAAAACCAGTCTCCCACAGTAGTGTGAAACACCAGAGATCTGGGTATGTCAGCAGCATGGAGTGATTAAGTTGTGGTTTAGTATACACATCTCTGTAACATCAGTGCATCTGTGCTTGTTATTACCCACCCCAAGAAATGCCGCGGAGAAAGGTGGGAGAGTGCATCTCCAGCTCAAGGACAAGGCTGGACATATTTGCTTACCCTAAAACTTCTCCAGGGTATACAGAGTTGCCCTTCATTTCATTAATTATTCAGAAAGGTATTACCGCTTTAATTTGCTTGCTGTGCACACAAGGCAGTACGTTTTGTTTTGCAATGAAAAATCTCATTTGGAACAGGATAAAATAGATGCAGCAGATTGCCTTGTTTTGATGTCAGCCTGCTCTTCCTGGCTGCCTGCTTCATCGGTGTCAATGGAGCCAACCTCAGCCTGAAGGAGACTGTGCTGCTTCTCCCTCTTCTCTCCCCAGTTCTTTCTCAGGGACAGAAACTGTGGTCATGAAAATACAGATTGTTTATGGTAAACATCCTAAAAAGCCAATAACTATTTTTGGCTGCCATAATATGCAAATATGCCTATTTTCTGTAGAAACTACGAAAATCTCTGCACTTCCAATCAGATGCCATTGGGTTAATACTAGTAAATCATGAGCTAAGCAAAATGTATGAGATTCTAAGGATTAAAACATACTTGTAGCATTTCTTGTCCCTTCTTCATTCCCTCCTCTAAAAGTGAAAAGTATTTCTGCTTTTTAGAGCAGAAATTATACTTCATGCAGTAATGATGACAACCACACGGATTCTAAACAAAAACAATGGTTTGCACAAACAAATGCCTACTGTACTGCTAATATGCCAGAGAGAAGCGCTGCATTATTGCCTGTTAATAAAGTCTAGTATTCCATCTCTGGCATTTACTCAATTTTCAGATACAAACGTGGAAATTTAAGCCACTGAAAATCTATTAAGGAGGGACCGCAACATGAGTAGCACTGAAAAAGCAGCTCCTGAAACGAAAGACAAAATCAGAATAATGAGGTTGGAGATCCTATCCTGACAAGGCACCGATCTGGCAGTGCAAACGGGTTACAACAACTTATTTGCCAGTTAAGGATTTCTGCAGCATGGAGCCATCCCAGTCATCATCCATCCTCCTCTCTTCACAGTCCAAGCACAACAGGGATGGGGAATGACAGGGTACCACCACGTTCACGCTACATATGGCTAGTTTGACAGCCCTTAGGATGCTAATGTAGCCTGCACAAGACAGAGTGGCTGCTCTACTTATTAAATTAGGCTACTCTAATTTAAATTGGCTGGGACGTAGCCAAAATTCTGCTAGAACTGGCATGCTGCAGTCAGGGCTTAAATGCATCTTTGTTCAAAATCCCTGCTTGCACAGAAAGATGCTTACTTCAGCTGAAGTGTGAGCTGGAGCCTGAGCGTAACGTCTTCAATACCTTCGTCTCCGTGGCTTTGTGGAGCTAAGTGGCCTGTCAAAGATGCACTTTGTTTAGTGGCCCTCATGCCTTCCCCTCTCAACAACACAAGTGCTCCAGCAGTTTGTCATGAGGCAAACAAGGTTGGGCTTGCCTCGAGATTGGAAGCCTCCAGCCTGCAACATTAATTAAATAACCAGTATTGATCTATACTAATAGATACTGCACACAATAGGGTAACTAGCTCTTTATATACAAAAGTAAAAAAAACATATTCTGCAGTCAGGGAAAGCTTTTGTGGTCCCACCACCGGGGCATGGAAATTTGGCCATAAATGAGAAAGCTCCATAATCAAAATCAGCAGGATTTTACCGGCAGCGAGTCACTAGCGATGGAGACGGACAGGAGGGACTGGGGATGGGCTGCTTCTTGGGGAGAAAGTAAACGTGAGTAAGCCTTTCCCATCTATTTTTTTGAACAAGGGAAAACACAATAGTTTCTAGAATCACAAATCAAAATCAGTTTCAGGAAGAATGCAGTGAAACCTACGGCCACAGTTAAGCGAAACCCTAGATCTATTCATTGCACTCTCTTTCTATTCTTCAATTTTCTATCATATTCAAATTTATTCTTTGTTAAATCCTACTGCTTTACTGTCTAACACATCCAACTTCCAACAAAAGTTTTGTAAGCATGCTATTTGAAATTGCATCACCGTTTACAGCAAACAGACATAGGAAAGAAGCAAAAATGTCATTTCCCCCTTCATGTCTCTCTTCTCCCCTCCCTTCCGCCAACACGCTGGTTTCATGCTCATTGCTCTACTTCTGGATGGGATCGTAAACTGGCTCAAAACATTTACCTTGCAGGGACAAACCCCCCCCCAGTTGTCTGTTTAATTGTCCTTTTTCTTCCTCTCTTCCTCACAACATCTATCTTTCTCACCTTTCACTATTCTTTTTTCACTTATTTTTCTTAACAACCACTTGGTACACACTTCTGAAGACACAGAAGACTGACGGGCAATCACCAGGACAAGAATTATGCACCCCTGAATTCTTTACACTTTGAAAGTGTGAATAAGGCCAGCATGGTGCACCAGCCAGCAATAGAAAAACAAAACAAATATAGAGAGCCTAAACCAGATATTTCTGGAAAAATTGTTGTTCACAACAGAAAACATTATCCTGCAATGTAGAAAACTGAGTGCATTTTATAGGCTACATTGATGAGTCATCCTTTCAAATACTTCATGAATTTTGCTTGCTTCTTTTCTTAAAAAAAAAAAATCATTTAAGTGTACTTTCCTTCTTGACAGCTTTAGTCAATCTCAAAGTGATTTACAAAAGAACCCAGTATTAAGTTTCCTATCTGACAGGCAGGAAACTGAGCGAGAGCCAAGAGAGGGACCAGAGGTCAGAGAGCTGGCTGGTGGCAGAGATAAGGCCAGTTCCCACTTCTCCAGACTTCCAATTCAATGCCACAGCCAGGATGTCTCTCTGCTTCTGCCGCTGGGTGAAATCAAGTTCTCTTTAAGATATTTTTTACATAAAGTATTTAATAATTGAAAATGCCACATTTACAAAAAAAATTTTGTCTGGAAGTGGCACACAATGCTACTCAAGTATATTTGCACATCTACTATACATTGCTTGATTAAGGAAATTCATTCTTCTCTCCTTTTAGAGGACATTGAGGGGCAGGAGCGTGTCCAGAGGAGAGCCACCAAGCTGGGGAGGGGTCTGGAGAACAAGTCACATGAGGAGAGGCTGAGGGAACTGGGCATGTTTAGTTTGGAGAAGAGGAGGCTGAGGGGAGACCTCATTGCCCTCTCAACTCCCTGAAAGGAGGGTGTAGAGAGGTGGGGGTTGGCCTCTTCTCCCAAGGGAATCATGACAGGAGCAGAGGAAATGGTCTGAAGTTGGGGCAGGGGAGGTTTAGATGAGATCTGAGGAAGAATGACTTTGCTGAGAGGGTGGTCAGGCCCTGGAAGGGCCTGCCCAGGGAGGGGGTGGAGTCACCATCCCTGGAGGGATTTCAGAAAGTGGTAGCCGTGGCACTTGAGGGCATGCTCTAGTGCTCAAGATTGTTGAGTTAGGGTTTTTTTGTGTGTGTATGGTTGGACTCGATGATCTTGAAGGGCCCTTCCAACCATGAAGATTCTGTGAAAACAGATTTCTGTACGCTCCAGTGAAGACCTTACTATATTAACATAATAAATGCAGTGAGGCATTAGTTTCAGACAAATGAAGCCATCTAGGGAATCGCCATCAGATGTTACCTACCAAATTTTTGGTCAAACCTCCACGCTGGGACGTGCGCATTGTGCTTCAGGTTGCTGTTTGGTGGGAGAGGCACTGTTACGTAGATGGGGCCATTCACAGGGACTGGAGTCCCATCGCTGTTGAGGAGATGAACGCTGACTGCAGTGACAGGGGTGAGGTCATACCTAGTGCTGTTTCCTACCGAGAGAACGAAGGAACATGGTGACTACAGTATTTCCCAGAAACTCAGATACAATCAGATTACTAATACAATAGTAATCTGCCCTGCCTTACAAAATTCACAACTACCAAGACGTAAATGCTTTTGTATTTTTCACTTAATTGTGGAAAATTCTGAAGACAAGAAGACTACAATGCAAAAAATTCCCTGCATATGTTTTCTCATCTTCATTCATCATTAACTAAACTTATGAGTATCACAGTCACAATCACAGCCAAAAAAATACCTCACCAGCCTATATTTGTATAAGCCTGTATTGTAACCAACAAACACCCAAACATGCAGTGACACCGCAAGGATGATGGGTCATATGTTTAAGAATGCCAGGATGTATCTCCTTTGGCCTTTCACTGAAACAAATCAAGCTAAGTGGATTATTAGAACACACATTGTTGCCTTTTTTTTCTATGTAAGATAATAATTATTCATAGAATCATAGAATTGTTCAGGTTGGAAAAGACCCTTGGGATCATCGAGTCCAACCAACCCTACTCTACAAAGTTCTCCCCTACACCATATCCCCCAACACCACATCTGAAGGACTCTTAAACACATCCAGGGATGGTGACTCAACCCCCTCCCTGCGCAGCCTCTTCCAGTGTCTGACCACTCTTTCTGGGAAGAATTGTTTCCTAATGGCCAGTCTAAACCTACCCTGTTGCAGCTTGAAGCCATTCCCTCTTGTTCTGGGAAACAGTTGTTCCTTTATTCCTGACCGTTCAATCCACTGCCTCTGCTGGGCACCATCTATAACCTCCATCAGACTGATGCTCGTCGCCAAGTCACTGGACCTGGGCCACTGATCTTCTCAAGCTGGTTAATAAATTCCTGTTGCTAACTCTCATAACCTGACCACGTTCTGGCATATACAAATTCCTAATGACAACAGGTATAACTTCAGATTTTAGAAACATTTAGATTAATATCTAAGATTAAATTATGTTTTATATTTTACTTATTTTTAGATATTGGAAGTTTTGATTTTTTCTTTCACTACTGTCTTGATAAAGCATATCTGCCTAACATCTGAAAAAAATGAGTTTTCAGCCCCAGAAAAAGCACTCTGATGGCAAAACACTGTTTGCATCTCTTCTACTCAAGATGCACTGATGTTTTGCTCAGTACTGGCCTAAACCAATTTATATTGCAAGATGAAGAAATTTCTGAAATCCACTGACCTCTGGCAAGAAAAAAATAATCCTCCAGTTTGCCATCTTGCACAGTATGTAAATGCTCATTAAAAAGATAATTTTTTCTCTTTTCTGTTGTGAAGGCAAATTAAAATCAGTGCTTATGAAACTCTCACATGCTCTTAAATTGATAAGTACATGCGCTAGTTACATGGGAATGGACTTCAATAAATGCCAGCTTTCAATTACTTCTTTTCATTTTTGACATCTATTTACCTGTAAATAGCTCTACAAATAATCAGAGGAAAATCCACAGTGATTTGACTTGACTCTTCATAAAGAAACCAAGAGCCCACACTCCCAGCAGGAGTAAAGGTTATTAGCCGGCTCTGTTCATTACTGCGGACGATGGAAAGTTTTGCTTAGTTTGGTTAAAAGGACAAGATTTTGTGAAACCATCCTACTGCTCTTCAACTAGTCATTAATACAAACTATACAGTCTTGTCACTACTTGCAGCTAAATTATTTGAGTTTTTATGTTTGGAACATGCTGATTCATGCAATGAATTTTCGCTGCTCCATACTCAACACCCAGTTGGGGTTTTGTGAAAACTGTTGAACTCACAGAGAATAGGTTTTAATTAAAACAACTGTGAAGTCACTCTGGAGAAATACTATCCAGAGAACTGAACTGACGGAAACAAATGGGAGGACCTTTCCAAAACTCTACAGATGTGTAAATAAACTGTGAAAGAACAGAAGAGTAATCGGGGGCGGGGAGAGGAGAACTGGCAGAGAGGGGAGAAGGGGCAGTGTTCAGGAACACTCCAAAATTTCCCATGTGAATTAATGCTAAGTTTTTCCAGAATTCTAAAATTTGTACAAATTTTTCTTTTTATCTTGAGAACAGAAATATTCAAAAATCCTCAGCAGGTGAGGATCTCATTTTTTATTCCTTCAGAAGTTATTCAGGTGAAATCTTCACCAAGTCGCTTGGAGATAAAGAAAAGGAAGTCAACCCAAGATTAGGGTTTTAGAGTTCAATGTTTCCAGAGCGGGAGAAACTTCTAAAAATAGAGGACACTTTTGCATATCCAAATGTTTTGTATTTGTGGTCTGTATTATACCATACTGAATACTACAGTACTCAGAAAACAAGGCTCTTCTCAGTCTCTTGAATCCCATTTCTTTGCTGGTCATTTTGATCTTTTGTGACAAACTTTTACTTGAAGGCTAATAAAAGTCAAATCCATGGCCTCCATGCTCAAGTAGAAAAGTTCCTGTCAAGCAAGCATACGGAAGACTGAAAAACCAAGGGTGCATTCATGTTTTGTAGGAGGTTAGGAGGTGAAACAGGAGAAAGACGAAGTCCTGGTTGTGTAGTTCCCACGACAGGTGATCACCTGAAGTCTTGGAAAGACCTGTTTTCACTAAATAAATGCAAGGGTGGGAAGCTGGGTTGCGGTCTACTAAGGCAATATTTGGGAGAGGAATCCCACACACATCGTCAACAGTTTTTTCAGCAGGTTTAGAGATAAAAAGAAAGGAGATGGGAAAGTAGACACACAAGTGAGATCAAGTGCATTCCTTCGTTTTGAAAAAGATAAGAGATATTTGATCATGTCTGGATATGAAAAGCCAGAGAAAACTGGAAGTTGAAGATGAGAATAGGGAAATGACAGAGAGCTAGAATGAGATGTACTCACTGATGAGATGTACACAGACAGAAGGACTGGAGTAAGGTAGAAAACACATCTCTAATTGTAATAGAAAAGGAGATACTCAGATCTGTACCAAGGGAAGGGAAAGTTTATTTTGACTTTATTGTTGGTTTTTATTATGGAAAAGCTGGCAGCTTAGTACATAATGTTTACACGAATGACCTAGCATTCAAAGTCACCTAGATGGACACTTCACAAGTAAATGCATCCTGTGAAACAGCAGGGAGAGAGCTCCAGGGGTTTTTTAGCCTGCTTCAAAGCAGGCTCAGCTACACCTATGCCATCCTCACAGGTGATTGTCTAACTCTGTCCAACACCCTCAGGCAATTGATTCTACAGCTTTAACTATCCTCACCACACAAGGTTTTCCTAATCACCAGTCTGCATCTATCTTGCTGCACTGCAAAGCCCACAAACAAAACATTATTCTCCTTTTCACAGTAGCGTTTAAGAATTTGAAAACTTCTGTGCCCAATTCTTCTATTTTTCTCTAGCCTACACAAAACCAATTATTTCAATCAAGACTAAATGAGAAGTGGAAGAATAGTACAGGCAGCTGCAGTCCTAAAAACGTGTAACAGCTCTGAATTTAACAGTGCTTGTGTTTCTACTATGAATTTTTAGTGTTTTCCCTTGCACATTTTTGGCTGAAGCTAGATTCAAAAGCATTAACAAAGCCACTGAAACAACTCTTCGCTGAAACAACAAAGTATTAAATCCATGATATATAGGTATTTTGTTCAGTTTTAGAAACAAATGGAACATGAATTTTCTGGCATCCTCAAGTTAAATTTTCTTCTCATTTATCTCCATTTTTGTCCGTACACATGCAACACATTTGGAGACTTAACTCTAAATTACAAGTGTAACAAATTTTTCTGATCTCCCAAGGCCACGGAGGCTTCATCTTTGCTATTCAGTGGCCCCATTTAAGGGATAGTGGACCTTCCTTTCTTCGTTATTTGAACAGCATTTTGGTAGGGTAGTCAAGCCTATCATGTCATCCAAATTTTAAAGAATTTTGGGTGGAACAGGGAATGGAAAAATTGATATGGTCAAATGCTGATCCCTGGACAAAAATGAAATTAGAGCAAAACCGAAGCAGTGCGTTACCTGTTCCATTTCCATCTAATCCTTGCAAATAAGGAAAACTGTCCACTTCCCAGGGTGAGCTGGCTGCAGTTAGATACGCTGTCAAATCGCTGTAGCTCGTGTTCTCTGGTAATTTCACAGATCTCCTCTGAAAGTGAACTTGTGGCTGAGTCCGTGCACCTAAAAAAATTAAAAGTGAATTTATATCCAAGGTGAGCAGAATATTTAGGTGTTCATATTTATGGAAGCACATTTACTTTTTTTTTCATTATAACTTGAAATAGCTTGAGAAAGACAGATAGATCAGAAGGCTATTACAAAAGAGGAGGAAAACCAGTATTTTTACATTTATGTTGCAGTTGCCATTATTTTTCTCTAAGTATCACTGAGCAAAATTGTGAAACTTCTAATGTCAGAAGTTTTTCTGACTATGTTCTTTCCCAGGATCATCTTAAATATAATTATACACTTCTTATAGTAAATACAACTGAAACTAAAGCTAAGTTCAGAGGTAGGGCATGTAAAAACTTAGAAAACCATCCATTTCACCATTTTTGTTTAAATTTTGTTTCTCTTGAAATAGCAAGATAAATTAAGCTTACTCTCTTTTAAGTGATTTTCTGAGAGACTGTAATTCTGCCTCTAGTGCCAATTAACTTGTATAATTTCCGTATTTAATTTTTACAAAGCTTCAGCCACATTAACCATCCCTAGTACTAAGATAATAGTCACTTTTTATTTAAACTACTGGATAAAAAGATTCACTTAACAAAGCCTTGGTGTTTCCACATTTTCCCATGCAAAGAACACATCTAAACAGAACCAGATTACTTGGCATGTAAGATTTCTCTTTTTTCCTCTGCCTTGTACACTTCTAGTGTTTTTTTTCAAGAACACTAGGTGTTAATTGAAGGCTCTTTGCTGCAACATGATTTAAGACTGTGTCATGTACTATTGCATTTCATGTCTCATTTAAATCCCAGTTTATAAAGTCAATAGTCTTTTTCAGTGGATGATCACCATTAATACTGTTTAGCAACACACAGCAAGACTCCATCTGCAAGTTTGTGTGTGCAACATGCAAATTAATTTTTAAATCAAAAGCTATTGTATTCTCCAGAGCTCATTTTGCATAATCACAGAACATTCCCCACACAGCACAAAATCAAGAGGCAAGCAGTTTTTTTCTTAATTCACATTTGACTATGCAATTCAAAGATGTCAACTCAAAACAATTTTGCTTCTTTTCCCCTATTAGTCTCTGGCAGCACTTTTAGGTTACATGTAACTTCACTGTGAGAAAGATTAAAGAGCTTGACTCACAACTCCTAAGCTTTTTAACTGCCGATGTCATTAACCAGGAGACTGGAATCTTTTCTTGCATTATTTTCTAGCAGGAGCCCTAGCTCTGTGAAAATGTAAAATTCCACAGAACAAACTTTGTACTGGCTAACAAAAAGTGTTATGTAGGCGGGCAAGTATCTCCAAAGAGCTGATCATTGTTTAGCTGTCATTTCAATGATAATTCTGCAAGAAAAAGCTATAAAAACACTTTTCTTTTGGAATTTCTGAAACATTTAAGTATTTGCAGCAGGCTCTTAAGACTGGCAGCATCCTTAAGTGCTTAACGTAGTCAATAAACAACACCCATGTGAAACGGGAAGAAACCTCCCTCACCCAATTTCTATGTTTAAATGGAAAAGAACATAAAAGACTAAATAAATTGACTGCAATGAACCTGGGGAAGACTTATTTCCCGAGTAGTTTGCTGTAGCTCAGGGACAGATCTGCTCAAGCACTCAGGAACCTCCCGCGGTCCATAGGGATAAGCATCCACAGTAACAAAACAGGGAAAAAAAAACCCCACAACAAAGAAACCAGCATTAGGATTATCACTAACACTTCAGTGTAAAATTTTAGGATTTTTTCTGATGTCTAAATCTCTGGTTAAGATTGATTATTCAAGTTGCCAAGAACCGGAATTATATTTCCAAAGGTTGGAACTGAATAAGAATTAAAAACAAAGTAACTGTTGTCGAGTCTGCAACAGGGTGGTTTAGGCAGAAGCCCTAGGGTTTTCCATGAAAAAAATGGTTGTTTTGTAGCACTGGGAGAGCCACGAGCTGCCAAATTTTAACTAGATAGGAAGGACTCAAAAAGCCAACCTCAGTTTCTTAAATCCTGCAGGCAACACAAAGCGTTCCTATGGCTGAGCCCCAGGGCTGGCAGGAAACCAGCAACCAACCCGGATGCGAGTTTTAAGGTGGAAGAAACAGCTTCCTCTGTAGATAGTGCACATACATACAATAAATCAGTGCAGAGTAGTTAATTCACACCCTAGATTAACACACTCCGTGATAATGGCATTCACCTGAAGCCTGACGCTCACCCTGACTCTCCCCTTGGCTCCGCAGTTGGGTCTTCCCAAATTCGGCAAGAGACTTCCAAAGGGGCAGAAGACTCAGAGATACCAGCAAAAGGCTTGTGAGGGAAGCAGCTCCTGAGGCTTTGACCTTCTCTCACCCCCTTGCTGGAAGACAATCCAATGTATTGCTTTAGCAGAGGTCATAGATGATTCTGGGGCACGTGTTTGAGAATAGACTTACCGAAGGAATTGGAAGTGGTAATATGGAGAGAAAGACTTGTGCTGACCAGACTCTTAGAGTCTTTTCCAACAAGTCAACACGTCACTAAGAGTGATTATTGTTGCTTCTATTACCAAAGATATGCAGTTTCAACCTAAACACATTCAAGTATAAAACTGGCTTGCTGAGCACTGATCTTACCTTCTCTAAACATCCTCTTGTCAACACACCAGCCATGAACAACCAGGCAACGGGCTGCAGTGAGTGCTGGGGCCTGGCACTTGCACTGGAAGGCTGTGGAGTCAACACCTGTGTGAGGTGTGAGCAGATCAATGGTCTGCTTAGTCTAGTGGATGAACTGAAGGAAGAGGTGGCTGAACTGAAGGAAGAGGTGGAAAGACTAAGGTCTATAAGGGAATGTGAAAAGGAGTTGGATTTGTTGTGCAAGGCTCTGCAGATCCCCTCAGGAGAGGGAGGTGACCCAATGAGCAGAGGGGAATGGACACAGGTGCCTGGTAGGAGAGGCAAGGAAAACCCCTCACAGCCCCCCTCACCCTTCCAGTTGACCTTGCACAACAAGTATGGTGCACTGGAGGCTGAGGGAGAGGCAAATGAGAAAGTAGAAGAAACATCGTCTGGGGAGTTGCCTAAAGCAAACCAGTCCCCCCCTCATATCAGTACTTGTACCTTAAGAAAAAAGAGGAGGGTAGTTGTTATTGGGGATTCCCTTCTGAAGGGAACAGAGGGCCCCATATGTTGGCCAGATCCTTCGCACAGGGAAGTGTGCTGCCTCCTTGGGGCCCAGGTCAGAGATGTCACTAGAAGGCTGCCTAGTCTGGTAAATTAGATATCAGGAAGAAATTTTTTACTATGAGGGTGGTGAGACACTGAAACAGGTTGCCCAGGGAAGTTGTGGATGCCCCATCCCTGGAAGTGTTCAAGGCCAGGCTGGATGGGGCCTTGAGCAACCTGGTCTGGTGGGAGGTGTCCCTGCCCATGGCAGGGGGGTTGGAACTCGATGATCTTTGAGGTCCCTTCCAACCCAAACCATTCTATGATTCTATGATTCAAATGCTGTCCACCTCCAGTTTGCCAGGGCACACCTGAAGATGCAACCATCTCAAGGAGTCCCTGTAAGGGACATGCTGGATGCGTGACACGTGGCACCCCGCCAGCATCTGAGCTTCCATCTACGTGAAGCAACCCCTGAAGGACCATGAATTCATGCTCTGGTTGCTGGTGTGTCAGAGGCAGGCAGAGGACACCACACAGCTCCCCTTTGCCCAACCCTGACCTTCAGCTGGTCACTGTGCTGGTATTAAAAAGCTTACATGCTGGCAAGCTCCATCCCTCCCAATTAGTGACAGAGCACAGCAGGGGACTGCAATGCCATCATGAAAATGAAGCTGGCGGCATCAATTCAGACAAACTTCTCAATTGCATAATAAGTTACTTGCTTGATTAATTATTGAAAAGCAACTGGTAACTTAATGGCACTAGACGGGCCTTTCTTTCCCTATGACTGGTGCTTCAAACACCCGTGTTCCCAGTCTGTTCCTGGTATAGTAAGTTCTGTTTTGCTCTCTTTTTTTGCACTAAGGTAACTCCTGATCAGCTTTTTTTGAAGCAGTACAAAGTTATTGGGAAATTAATTGGAGAAGTAACAGAGAAAAACTAGGTCACAAGGATTTTGGATCAAGACTAGAGAGGCTCCATCCAAACGCCGGTACGATGCCTAGGCTGTCTTTCATTTAGGTTTCATCAAAAGGGAGTTCCCAAGAAAAGGAGTGTGGGCTGGTCCCATAAAATAGTTTTTACTGGGCAAGATTGCAAGTTCAAATCCCAACCCTTACAACACTCTGGGGGCCACTTTCTTCCTTTATCCTCTTTCTCTGCTATACCAGCAGAACCAGTTATATTATTCTAATGTAAATATATTGGAAACACCCTGATCAATTCACTGAAGGGAGCAAGATTATGTGAAAATATTTATGAGTGTCACTCGGCTGTTAAATGTCTCTCTAGCCCTTTAACATCCACCTTTGTTTGAAGAAAGGAAGCTGTAAACATGAACAGATTGTTCTTTTTAAGGTAATTGCATAATATTAGCACATTTGCATAAGAATATTCAATACATCATGCTGGTAGAATACTGTTGGTAAACAAAGTTTCATGTTTTGTCTAATGGAATCCCTTGTGGTTTTACACAGTTCACTGTCCATCTAATTTACCCCATTAGATAATGCCAGATCTCAAATTGCAGAATATACGTTCGGCAGCTGTGCTGCTCTCCAGATCCTTCTGAGCATTCCATAAGTTACCTAATTTGTTTAGTGCTTTTTCAGCTCCAGCCATATCTAGTACTATCCTTAATGAAAAGCCCATTGTATCGGGATGGTTTCTAACTGTAAAAAAAAGATGTCAGGAAGGCATAATTGTATTATATTTCCTCAGATAAAACAAGCTTATCTTGGAATATTATTGAAGATAGTATTCCCCTGTTTATTACCTATACACTGGTAGAGTTTAAAATGATGATAATTATAATACAAGTGAATAAGACACAGTTTATGCGTAGTAAGAGTGACCACAGGAAGGATGTGCCCTTGTTTTGGCTCATCAAAGTATCTTTAAAAGCTTCTCTTCTTTTGTTCACAGACTTACCTCGGCTATCACATCAATTGGGCTAATTCAGGTCAGATCCCTAGGTCAGACCAACATTTTATTCTTTACTGCGCAATTCAGAAAACACAATGTTCATCTGCCTGCTATTACAGTTGCTTTTACCTTCTGTGTTTGGCCTTACGAAAAGGTGATTTGAACTTTATTCTTCTAATGCAGTGGTTTTCATCCTGTAGTATGTGGGTTTGCAGGCAGTTTGATTAGGAGTCCACAGGAAGTACTTAACAAAAGCAAGTTTAGATAGGGTATACGACAACGCAGATATGAGAAATTCTCAATTTTTCTATATCCTAAATTTTTAAGGCATTTACAGTAGGAAGCAAGAAACAAAATAAAAACAGAGAAAATTCTTAAACGATAAGAACATCAGAAAATGTTTACTGCCAGGATGGTTAAATGAGGCTAGATGAAAAAACATCCAGCAGACACTGAAAGAAATTTCATCTCTAGTTCTCAAAGCGCACAGTAAAGTCCAAACTCGAATTCCCTAGTCACAGCAGTTAGGGGTGAATTTAGCTATTAAGCAATTTGGTAAGGCCATCCCACAGAGAAGCATTCCTCAGGGAACTCAGAAGAACTTGCCATGAAACATCAGCCTCACCCATGGGGTAGAGTTCAGAAAGTATCAGGTTGTCAGGCTTTTTGTTTAGTGTCACTCAAATTTCAATTCTGACTTCCAAAAACCAGCATACCTTGAAATCCTGAGACTATCTGGACTACATCATCATAGACCATTAGAGTAGCTGAGCGTTCAGGAAGAAGGCCGAGACTCAGCGAAGAGAACACTGTGGGAGAGAAGTGGTTTAAGTGGGATACATTTGAATCTTTATAAACATAACCCAACAACAGCAGCACTTACTTTCGTCTACATTTTTGCAAAAAGCAGGCCACCCAAACTATTAAAATCATATTGTATACATGACAGAAACCACATGCATTTTCTTAACCAAATAATCGCCAGGGTAATTATTATCAAACTAAGCAACATGTTCTGTGCTACGACTCCTCCAGGTCACGCGTGGTGGCTCAAAGTACAGAAGAGCACAGTGCAAAGCAGGGTTTTGGGTTGTAATTCCCCAGCTCCACAGAAAGACTTGTCGTTACATAAAGAGAAGTGAAAAACCAACTCAACCTGCCTGAATAATTTTCTGTGAAATGGCTATGCTTCTTACCTCAGGAAGATTTTAATGAAACTTAACTTTCAACTACTTTGAGATGCTTACATAAAAAGTCACCCAGAAAGGCAAAGTACGTTGAATAAGTCTGAATAACTTGCTTTAAAATACAGCATGTCTTTACTGAGTCACCACCTACCCTACAGAAGTGCTATCTATAGCAGAGCTACTGTCATTCCACCAGTGGTGAGAAAGGGGACGGATAAATGGTATTTATTGCAAGAAATCTGCCTGCAAGGACCTCCTTTGCCAGTGGGTACTGACGTTCCTTCCAGAGAGGTAGACCCGCCTGCAGTCCATGCATGGCTTTCAGAGATAGAAGGAGGGGAGGAGATTAATGCAGACTAGTGATTTTTGGTTACTGAGCAGCATCCCACGTTTGCACCTGGAAAGTACTCGTCCCATTCTGAAGTGACCACAAGCTGAGGAAGACATTTCCAGAACCAATTAACAAAAGAACAACGCAAGCTCTTCTGATTTTCTGGAGCTTCATAGATTTCCTCTAAATCGAGATGTACTACTTATCCAAGAGACCATATAGATGTTAGCTACAAATACTGTACACTATTTTTGTTTTAAGAAATATATTCTCTTTTTAAAGATTAGAAATTTAGTGTTTGGGAGGACTACAGGAAAAAGGAGAAGAAACTAGGAGAAACACACTGACAAGAGCCACCATTTAAAAGACGATCTTTACATATATGACCATTAAAAAAATAAAATAAAGAATCATGTTATTACAAGTGCAGCTGAGAATTTTCTTTCCAGTGCTCTACATGTGAAACAGATCTACACATCAGGAAACAAAAGAAAGCCTAGTGTAAGTAGCACGAAGGCCACACAATTACACAATTTGTTTGTCTTTATTCCAACAACTTAATTTGTATGAAGAAAGTTAATATAATTTAGACGCCCTGGGGAGCTCAATACAATAAACCATGCCAACATCTTCTTCCATATATGCCAGACTATAATGCATATATAACCTCTAATCTTCCCTTGGGATTTTCTGCACAATCTTTTCTCAGCATGACAAAGGCAGAAAGTCATAGTTTTTAAGGCCAGAAGGATGACTGTGATGATTCAGTCCTACTCCTGTATAACTACAGCATTCCCTGAATTAATTACTACTTCAGGTCCAATAGCTGTGCTTAAACTAGAAAACATGTCATAGAAAAAGCATCCAATTTTCTTTTAAAGGTGTCCAGTGGTTAAGAACACACCACAACATCAATGTTCTAGTAAATAGTTATGAGGGCAGTTAAACCATGGGCCTTTTTACCCATCAAAATTTATTGGGGTTAGACTTCCAGCCATTTGATCTTCTTTTTCTGCGAGCCTGCTAGACAGAACTCTCTCTTACCCGCTTCCTGTTCTCTATGTGGGTACTGATGGACTACGATCAAATTACCCCATGAACTTTCTTTCTGGTGAACAAAATAAATTAAGCACTTCCCAGTCTTTCCCTGTAAGCTGTATTTTCCGATCTTTTAATCACTCCTGATATAACCCTGCAGTTTTAAACATTATTCTTCAAGAATAATCCAGATCCAGAATTGGACACATATTTCCCTGAGCGGCCGCAATAAGGACAAGTTCTGAAATACTATATTCTGCCTTTTCAGTCTTTTATCTTATTTTACTGCTAAGGATGAGATTATTTTGCTTTCTTTCAGCGCAGTGAATGCCATGGTTTGCTTTGACTGACCCTACCAGCCACTCCGAACTGTGCTGCCTCGGGAACCTCCTTCTCTCCATTGCACACGATGCTCCAAAAACACCCTCATAAATATGGACTACCAGTCACAAATTTTTTTCATCCAAACTATTTACAAAGAGAAACCTTTGCATAGCTAAGAGCAGATAGATGAGCACATGTTCCATCATGAACACTTCAACAACTCAAGTGATGTTAAATTAATGAACTGTTAATAAGTGGAGTCATGGCTCTGCTGATAAATAGTTTAATGGAAAAAGAGATCTTAATCTTTTCCTCCTACCACTTATCACTATGTAAATAAATAATCCTCCCGCTTAAGTGGTAAAGAGCTAGTAATTATTTTGGTTAATATAAGAAAAGTTCATTTCTGCCAAATTATGAGAACAGAAAATCCTTGATGCTTACTCCTTAAAGCAATCATACCATGAGTTCAGTGGTATTCGCTGGGTCACGTTTTTTCAGGACAAGACAATAACTGATGCATATTGACTGTGACAGAACAACCCCGATCCTTCAGCAAAGTCCTGTTACAGCACTTCAAACATCACCACCCGACAGCTCGCAGAGCTGCTCCCTGCTCGTGCCTATCATCTCCATATTTGAAGCAAATGTGTCCACAGTTGATTCACCACAGTCCCTGGGTGGCACTCTGCTCAGAATGGTGTACCTGCTCCGGGGGCTGAGACTACTCCTGCTGTTAAAAGGCATTTTTGGGAAATGAGGATCCCATGCGTGTGCCCAGACTGCACACTGCAGAATCAAGGCTTAAATACGCTGCCTGCTCCCCACCATTCAACCCCAGATTAAAAATAACAACAACAAAACTTCCACGGTTTTCAAAACTTCTATACTGTGCTGGTTACAAGCATGATAGGCATCTAAATATAGGGTATTTAAATATGAACAGTTTTTGGGAAGTTTTTTAAATCTATAGGCATCTCAGTCAATAGAAAAAATAACAGCCTAAATATCTTGGGCCTGAACTTCTATGTCACATCCTTTTTAAGGAGTAATTAGAAGAACAACCCTATTAAATCTGCATGGGGTGTATCAAGTTGTCACTTGTTGTTTCTTTAATCAAAGAAAGGATTAAATTCAGGGTACAGAAAGCAAAAGAAAGGATTCTACTCCCAATTAAATCAATGGCAAACTATCTACTGGTTTCAATGGGGGAAGATCAGAGGTGAAAGGAATCTATTTTCTGAGTTAAGCTCACATTTCAGCCATGGAAAAAAGATTTTGTAGGAACTGTATACAATTACTGCTCTTTAAACCTCAATGACTTACCAAGACAATAATGCCATGGTCAATTCTCTTCCTTCAAAACTAATACTTAAGAAAAGGCAACAAGCAAAAAACCTAACCAAATAAACTCCAGGCCATGGAAGAGCAGGTTGCATTCAAAAGACCCAGGGTATGAGTCAGAAAGATATGAGACACAAGGCAAGAAAAGGTTCAGACAAGAAAAGGTTATAGCATGCTTTAATCATATATGATGGTGTCTTAAGAAAGTACATGAAGCATGCTGAGGAAGCAGCACTTCATCTTATTTAAACAAAAGAAAAAAAAAAAAATGAAAGGAATTTCTAAACAGAGTCACAGAACAGTTATGGCTGGAAGGGAACTCTGGAGGTCACCAGCTTCAACCCTTCAGGCAGGTGTGCTGCTGAATTTTTAGTATCTTTAAGATGGAGATTTCACAACCTTCCTGGACAACCTGTTCCAGCCTTTGACTATTGCTGCTGTAAAGAACTGTTCCCTCTTATTTATTTGAAACTCTCCTTGCTGCATCTCATTTCAGTTGCTTCGTATTCTTTCACTATACACCTAAGAGCCCGGCTTAGTCTTCGCTATAGCTCCATTCAGTAGCTGGAAAACATGACAGAATGCAGTAGAGAAAATGTGGAACAAGTCAGTCTATCTTACCTGAAGCAAGTGAATACAGGTAAGTGAACAGCATGTTGAAATGCCTAAAGCACAATTCTGGGTTTGAAGAGATTTGAGTTCCTTCCCCCATCTGAAAATACATTTGCTGCTTGACCTTGCAGCAAGTCCACAGTCCCTCTGGCTATGCTGATATTGCTAAATAAAATGGAGCCAAAGCATGGGACTGAACACTGCCCTGTCATCACCTATACTATTGAAATGTTAGTGCACTTAAAACCTGGCATGGTTTTGGCCTAGACAAACTATCAAATCTGATGTGATATTTAGGTGTGACTTAGGTATAATACAAGCCCGGGACCATTCCCAAACTACCTGGACCCTAATTGTGGCTGGGGATTAGAGGAAAGGCAGATGAAAACTGGCAACGTGACCTTCATCTACTTGTTAGGTCTCAAGGTCTGAAAGCCACCCTCAATCTGCTCTATCTAGCAGTACAGAAATAGTCTTCATGTCTCAGTTTCCCCTCCCGTACAACTAATGTCAAGTCACCCACTTCCCATAAAATTTTGAGGCATTCTGATAAAAAAAACGAACATGCAAATATTATTGCTATATTTGTTTGCCTGCGGAAGAAACAAACCACGCTAATTAAGTCAGAAGAAATCCTTACATCTGGATCACATAACTGCAGATTAAAACTGTCCTACGGACATGACCAAAAAAACGAAAGGCCAGGACTTTTTTGGTACACTAAAGCCTACATTAAAGCAACAGTTGTTGCTACACCTTGGGAGAGAAATGAATGAGTCCATCACAGCTGCTGAAACAAAGCACTTGGAAACAGAGTTCCCGTAAAGAAAAAGATCTGGAAGAGATTTGTATGTTCTGTGGAGCTGTAAGAGCACCAACAATTGTTTAAAACCTGACGTAGCACTGTATCAAGGACAGCCAGGAGGAGACCGAATCTCTGCACAGCCCTGATACCACGGTTTAACTGAGGAAGAAACTTTGCTTTTTTTTTTTTTGAAACACAGAGATGATCCTCCTCCCACTCAGGATTGCAAGCATTAAAACACATCACATAAAATTGTGTAACTTCCTTTAGATGCAAAATCTTACCTCAGAACAAAAATAAAGATCTCTTACCAGGCAATCTTACAGGTTTCCATGGTGCAGAATTTGGCACATAGGCATGTTTACTAGCAGTCACTATCAGCTGATTGCCCAACTTATACTGAAACTTGAGGAAGGCAGTGCCATCTGCTCCTGAGGTTCCAGATGCAATGGAGATCTGGTTGGTAAAAATCTCAATGAAGGCTTCAGTTACTGGCTGATGTGTGCTGGCATCACTTACATGGACCTTCAGCGTTACTTCTGTAATGACAAACAACCACAGCAATTATCGTCCAAAAATCTTCTGCAGGAGGCAGCAGTTAGAACATGCTCGCACACCAATGACCAAAAAGACACAGTGCTAACCTCTGACACCTTGATGCCAAGTACAACCTCTTGTCCTGGCCTGCAGTTGTCCACTTTAGGCAGTCACTCTTTAGAGATGCTGCAGATTCTGCCACAAGCCAGACCAGGTCCTGAATTATTACCCTACTGCTAACTCCAGCCATGGAGGCATCCATATTCCACCTGGGGTTGGCTCCAGCCAGCCTTCTCCACCAGCACTGTGGAGAGGGAAAGGCTGGATGGAAGTGGGCTGTGCTCCCTCACCCCCTCCCCAAAACACTTCCCTCTTTGTGTGGCAAAGGAACAGAGTAAATCTGCTGGGATGGAATCCCAGGAAGAAAGCGGGCCCTGGAGCTGGCTGTGCTACAGCCAGAGATTTGGAACTCCGGTGGGAGAGACCAGCCCAGCTGGCACAGGACAACCCTGGTGATGTCTAACCAAGACAGTGAAATCACAGAGGAACACGTCCTTGTCCTTAAAGCACTGGACGACCAGGTGGGACGCAGAGCTCCAGCAGTGAGGAAGAGAGGAGCATTTTTCCCCCTGCCTCCCTGTTCACTGGCCCTTTTTCCAAAGGGGTAAAAATGTCACAGCCCCTAGTGAGACCTGACACCACCTTATTACCTGTCTCCACATACAGCTGGTGGGCATGAAAAGCAAAGAAGTGATGGCTAAGGCAGTCAGGAGAATCATACATCTTGCAGACATGCAGTCGGGAGCTAACACAATGGACTACATTTTCCTTGAGTAATTTGCCATTTTTCCAGAAACTAATTACTCATTTAAATGTTTCCAGATGTACAATATTTGTCCACTCTGGGCCACTCCTATGACTAAACCATGCATTGTGTCACCAGGCTTCTGTTACATAAAGTGGAGTGGCTTGTGCAAGACAGTCCCTCTGGAAGGCAGCCCTCTGTATCCACGATTATTTTTCTCCCTCTCTAGTAGTTCCTCTGCCTCATGGTCTAAAGTAACAGCTGTTGCCTTTCTTCAGTAACTATGACTTACAGCAATGCTGTGTTGAAAAGACCCAGCAATGCCTTGACCAAGCAACGCCTTGGATTTTTTTCATTTACAGTCCTCTCGTTCTCCTAAATAAATACCTACCTACCTCTTCCTCTTCTCTCCCACTGTCCCCTTTCTCTCGTTCTCGCCCTCATATTTGGAAATTCCGTTCTTCTTGCTTGAATTCCCCTCCCTCAGCTTACACCATCCCCCAAGGTAATAGAGGATATTTTGCAAACTCCCTTTTTTATGTCAGGGGAATTCAGCCTCTAACAAGCAAGATGCTCACACTCCATGTGCAACTAATTTCTTCATGAACTGCCCAGAAAAAAAGTGTGATGCCCTCTTCATATTTATTTAAAACCAATACACTAGTTTCTACAGAACATCGGCAATACTGTTCTGCTATATTACCACTGGGTGTTAGGAATTTAAGAACATATTTCGGTGTAAGCCCTGAGCCAGCAAGATGTAACACAAAGAAGAACAACAAAGAGCTTAACAAAACCTCTGCTGTGGGTTGCAACAGTGAAATGACACAATGGAGTATGCTGAGAAACATACTGCAACTATAGACAATTTTAAAAGGATGTTAGGATGTAATACAAAAATATCAGCACTTCTGTCCTAAGGGCATTTCAGCCAGAAAGATATCGAGCCTTTTTATAAGCGGAAACCTTCTGTCTGAATCCTACAGTACAGAAAATATAAATATCAGACAGCCCTGAATTAAAACCCCATTAGAGAAATTCATCATCACTGCAGCCCTCACTTTAGAACTTGGCAATGGAGGATGCCAGTATAGAGGGGATCAGCATGAAATACATTCTGGCTATTAAAGATTCTGGACTTGTTCCCAGTTTTGCCTTTAGTAGTCAAAGAAAACAACATATATTGAAAAACAGTGTCCATACACACTGCGGTGCACATGCAGAATGCCTCCTTAGAAACTTTGGGTTGACGACCAAGCAACTTGTGGCATCTTGTGCATGGGAAACACAGCCACATTAATCAAAGGAGGAACTCATCTGTATTTGTGTATTTACAAACTGTACATGTATTTACAAACTGCACATGTATTTACAAAAGTGAGGGCAAAAAGTAATGTAAGTTTTTATTTTCAAAATGTGCAGGAACAATACATTTAGATCCAAAGCTAGATAGCTGTGCTGTTGATGTTTCCCACTTTGAATTGCCTAGCAAAGAATGCTGAAGAACAGATGCGGTTAAGAATAATAGGTCATGCATTAAAGAAAAAGCAAGGAAACAGGATAAGCTGAACATTGTGGTTAGCAATTTCAGTAACATGAAAGTTTAGCCTTTTCTTAAACAACCACATATAAGAAGGAACCAAGGAGCTATGGAATATTAAATACTAATCAAGGAAGAGGATAAGAAAACAGCAGAAGTACCACATCTATTAATCCCCTATAGCCATCCAAAATTCCAGAATAGAGACTACTACTAAAACTGATCAAGAAACAAAGACCGATAAAGAAAAATTTTCCTGTACATACAAATCCAGCTCTCTCTTCCCAAACAAAAGAGCTAGCCACAGGTATCTCCAGTAGGAAATTCCTTTATCCTTCACTCTATAGCTACATAAGGGCTTCTGTCTGCATCCTTCTCTCCTTCTGATAAGGAAGGATAAGGATTTCCAAAATCCTGTTTCCAAACGGAAATGACCCAAGATGGAAGACTGATCTCCTGAAAGGCAACAGACTGGAACTGCTGTTCCAAACCACAGTCCCTAGATCAGACACCAGGCTTCTTTTCTCCTCCTTTTTAATATTTAGACTTGTTTTTTCCTGAGAGCATAGAAAAAACCCTAGCAGCCTGGATAACCCTAATTCCTTTTCATGTGTTATCTTCCCTGACATACGTGTGAAATGTATACAACTTGCTTAATTCAGGGCTTTCTCCCACGCAACAGATCCTTTTTCCTCTTATCTAATGCAGCAGTGATGTCACGAACACAAAACCTGCATTATCACAGTAATTTCCACAGCAACAGAATTAGTACAAGGTTTAAACTGTAATTAAAACTGAGAAATTGTTGAAGAAAACCTCCTCTCAAGCAGCAAGTGACGAGAACAATCTATAAAGAGAGACCACTATGAAAACTTAAAGCTATACAGCAAGTTTCAGAATTGTTAGGAGATATTCAGGCACTTCTTGAAGAGGATAAGGACTGAAGAAGAAGAGAGCACAGTAAGGAGAGCGAGTGATCCAAGATTAGTCTGACCCCAAATTAATAGGAAGGTCTTAGACTAAAGCATTAGGTATACTAAAAGAAGTATTTAATTACAAAAAGCTGCTTAGTAGACTCATTATTAGCTAAGGAATAGAGTCTTTAAAATATCTGGCAAACTTTCCAGTTGGTGCTCTCAGCAGAACAGTGGGGATTAAGCAGATACATTATTCTGGAGTTTTACAGACTACCACAGCAAGGAGCTCACACAGAATTAAAGACACATGGACTCAGAGAAGGAAGGACATCTGCAGCAAGCGAGGAACATGATGGAGTCAGGGAACCAGAAGCATTGCGCAAGATGAACTCTGAGAACGTGAACTGCTGAAGAGAAGCATGCTTCATTCTGCCGCGGATTTGCGATACTGTTACGCTTTCTATTATTTACTACAGCTTCTATTATTTACTACAACTTCAGTTACTGAGTTCTGCAAGAGCTTTGCCCTGTGCTACTGCTGAGGTCCTGGAGAAGGAAGGGGACACAGAGGAGTACAGTGCCGATGTCTCATCACTGCAGAGCAAAGCAGAGATGGCTGAGATGAGGGACCCTGGGCTGATGAACTCACCCAGGGCAGCTGTGACCTCCCTCACCTCCCCAGCCAAGTCAGTCACATTCAGGACAGGCAAATGAGCTGATAGCTCTGTCTAACATAGAATCACAGAATCTTCATGGTTGGGAGGGACCTTTGAGATCATCAAGTCCAACCATACACACTCAAACAAACAAAAAACAAGCCAAACCAACTAACCAAACAAAAAACCAACAAAAAACCCAACAGAAACCAAAGCACCCAACCCAACAATCTCAGGCACTAGAGCATGCCCTGAAGTGCCACGTCTACACCTTTCTGAAATCCCTCCAGGGATGGTGACTCCACCACCTCCCTGGGCAGGCCCTTCCAGGGTCTGACCACCCTCTCAGGAAAGTCATTCTTCCCAATATCTAATCTAAACCTCCCCTGCCCCAACTTCAGACCATTTCCTCTGCTCCTGTCATGATTCCCTTGGGAGAAGAGGCCAACTCCCACCTCTCTACACCCTCCTTTCAGGGAGTTGGAGAGGGCAAGGAGGTCTCCCCTCAGCCTCCTCGTCTCCAAACTAAACATGCCCAGTTCCCTCAGCCTCTCCTCGTAGGACTTGTTCTCCAGACCCCTCCCCAGCTTGGTGGCTCTCCTCTAGACATGCTCCAGCCCCTCAGTGTCCTTGCTGTAGTGAGGGGCCCAGAACTGAAACCAGCCCTCGAGGTGAGGCCTCACCAGTGCCCAGTCCAGAGGCACCATCCCTGCCCTGCTCCTGCTGGCCACGCTGTTCCTGACACAGGCCAGGATGCTGTTGGCCTTCTTGGCCACCTGGGCACACTGCTGGCTCCTGTTCAGCCCACAGTCCACCAACACCCCCAGGTCCTTCTCTGCCGGGCAGCTCCAGCCACTCTTCCCCAAGCCAACACACCTGGCTCCTCACCAGTGTGGTGTGATGTGACTCTTCCAGACCCAGGCTGCCCAGCATGCGGTCCCCTGTTGGCTTGCAGGGCATCGCAGGCGGGCACAGGTAGAGCCTGCACCACTGTTGCGTGCCCTGCCGTTATATTCCTACAGCAAAGGAAGAGCTATTCATTTTTAGGAGGTAACCCACGAGCAAAGACATCGTGTCTGGATGG